TCGATCCCATTCACAACGCTCCCCGTATAGCACCTGTCTCTTATACACATCTAGATGTGTATAAGAGACAGCACACACGTGCGCGCGAACCTGCTGTTTCATTTTTTTTACTTTTTTTTTTATTGATTGATTGATTGATTGATCAGTGAAAGGGGTTGCCCTTCCCCCCAGTACATGCACACACACAGACACACACACACACACACACAAAAACATGAAAAATAATTTATTTATTTTTTTTATTATGTTTGTTTTGATTAAAATACTTATTTTTTTGTTTTCTATTTTTAAAAAAATAAAAAAATAATTTATAATCCTAAACAAAAAATATTGGGTTGTAGGTATCTTCAAACCCTACAACCCCATACGAATTTCTCCGTTGTACCCAACCGCAGGGGTCATGGCCTGCCGTCGGGATCCTGGCCGCGCGCTGAGTTTGACCCCGCGGTCATGACCGAGGGGGATTCATAGATGCTGTATCCGAAGGAAAATTATGGGCGTTACGTTCATGCATAACTTCGAATGTTTTCCATACCGAGATTACCACGGTGAATAATGTCTACCCAAGTATTGATAACATGGGCTTGACAATGAATTACTTATTGATTTAAATTGAAACCATTCAAGTTAAACCATCATTTATTTGCACGCAAATGACTGAATACACATTTCATAAAAAATGAACATATTTTTCAAAAAGTGAACTATTCTGAATGTGAATGAGTACTCTGTACATGGGTCAATAGGGCATTATGCGGCACTTTAAGTGAGGAAAAATGGTTAGTGTATGAGGTGTTGATGCGGTAAATGTTATGGTGGGACATTTTGAGCCCTTCGTACATGAACAGTCGTTATTAAATGAGAATTAACACCTCAGTGTATAAAATGGGTTCGCGTCCTGTCCTGGCTAGGTACGAGGAACAACACTGTACAACATAAAAGGGTACAGGCTCTTTGTACGCCATCTTGACAATGTTCTCCTGTCTAGGTGTAAGGAACGACAGTCACTGTGACACATACCACACAATATAAAAGGGCATGGCTATCTGCACAACAATGTTTTGGGCTACCGTACTATGTGGTCCATGTGTTCCATAAAAGGTCAGGGGGTCCGACGCTCGACACCTTGCAAGTTGATGGATTGAACCCGTCAACTGTGGTTGAGCGGAACACCCAACCTGGTGCATGACAATTGGCAAGTTGAACCCACAACCCGTCAGTACCCCTACAACGGGTGTGTCCACCATTTTCCTTCCCGGAAGGGCCTCCTTCTTGGGTTGGCAGATATCAATTAAACATCGAATCAATCTGTAGTTATCGATGTTCGACAGAGCACCTTAAGGAAGTGTCAAACATTCGTTGACTCTCTGTGTCGATTGCCAAAAACACTCTTAGGGGACCTTGATGTTGGTTCCTGATCTGTTTGGCGATCGAGCACCTTGAAGAAGTGTGAAACAGTCGTTGGTTGTGTGTGTGGATTCCCGTTAGCACTCTTAGAGTCTTAGGGAACCTTGACGCCAGATTTAATTCTGGGTTGTGAGAGAGAGAGAGAGAGAGAGAGAGAGAGAGAGAGAGAGAGAGAGAGAGAGAGAGAGAGAGAGAGAGAGAGAGAGAGAGAGAGAGAGA